TAGATATGTCTGCGGCCGTTGTTCACTGTACCATTTTCGGAAATTGTTGTTTATTTGTACTTTTGCAACCGGTCGAATTCATTTCTACACGAATGATGTAAATAAAAAGGTTTCGTTCGTACCATTTGCCAAATAGCTTGTTCAGCATATAATTTATTTCATTTCTTTTTACCATACAGTTTTGTTGTATATATATATATATATACGTTGGCGTAAAACCGAGGGTACTGGGATTTTAGGTATTTATCCAACGCAGCCACCAAGATTAGTTGTATGTGTTATTAAACTACCGCGTGGCCAACAGGATCTGAGGTCTATTTTGCGATTCCCCGTGAATGTTTCCTTCAATATGAACAGCGTACCAAAGTTAAACAGGCTCCTTATATGTATAGGTAAAAGGTACGGCAACGTATTCGCATTGCTGCGAAATAGAACACCACAACAATAATAACCGCCGCACAGTTTGACTTGGAAACAAGATGTAGAAATTCAAAATGAACATTTCGTTCACTTACCATACGGTTGCTACGGTTACAACTTCTGAGTAGTTGTTACTTGTATAATATCTAAAACCATATGTAAAACACATAAGAAAAAAACGTATCGAAACTAATATGTTATATTAAAATGTTAAATGTGTAATTTTTATTTATTAGTGTCGTTACAATCAAAATCCGTCGAAAAAATAAATCCACCAATAAAGTTTATGATAATTACATCAATTATGTTGTGTTATGTGAAATTGACTGCGTTGTACTACAACAGACCAAAAAAAAAAACCAGAACTTTTCTTTCCATAGCTGTTAAATTCAACTTTGCATCAGTGCATCATGTTCAATAATTTTATATTTTTGTCGTCTATACCGATCACGGTTCTTTTTTACCGCTAGTCTCCAATAACAACAAGCTAGTAGTTGTAAAGTTAGTTTACACTTTACTTAGAATTATGAGCGATGGGACATACTTTCCAAGGATAAACACTGGGGGGTTTTCCCAAGAGATGAAAATAATGACGTATACACCCAAGTACTCAAACACTGGTCCTTTGAACCGCCGCAGCAGGTGTTTTTCCCGGTTAAAAACGTGTCGATCGAAAAAAAATTATTGGTATAAGTTAACTCAATCCATGATAATGCTATAGTATAGTTCATGGTAATCTAAGGTGGTATTGGATAAAATAATTTGTATGATTTTTAATTAATAGAATATTTGCATACGCGATTTGTGCTATGTTCCAAATCAACGAATTCGATAAGAAACGTTGTACACCAGTTTTATTCCGTCATTAATTAACGAGGATATAAAAGTACAAAACATACATTTTTGTTATACTTAATATACATAGGGAATACCTGTAGCTTTTTTTACACGTGATATGGTCATAATGTACCGGGTGATTCCGTTAACTATTGCACAGTCAATAACATAAAAGATAATTGACATTTTAATTTTTTTTTTTATACTTTTATAGTTATATAAAGAGAGGAAGAGCGAAGAGTAGAAATATTTTAATCTGTGCGCATTACTCAACCGCACTTCCCCTACTATCCTAACTTTTAAACTTTAAAACTAATTATCCAAAACTGTTATTTTTACTTTAAAAAGTTAATCACGTTAAAATATACGTTACCATTTAAAAAACTTAAGTTCATCAAACGTATATTAAAAAAATTGTCTACAAGTAACGTACCAAAACACATTTTTTTGTTGAATTATTGAAAAATATTACTAGAATTAACATTTTATGACAGGATGACGTTTTTGTAAAATTCTATTAGAAAAATTCTAATGGTATTTTTACTGCCACGTCAACAAAATATTTCACAGTGCTAAGATTTGTATACGCAGTAATTGAAAAAGCTATCTAAATTATAATAGATTTAGAAAATCAAGATATTCGACCATGACACAACAACAGTCAACAACCCAAGCTTTAAAGTTTAGATCACAGTCAAATTGAGTTGTCAAATATAATATTATATATTATATATTAATTATAAAACATTTTTTTTAACTCCACGACATACATTCAACCATTAAAAAAAAATTTTTTTTTTTTTTTATACAATTATTGATTATACATACTTATAGCATATTATAGCATAATCAATGGTACAACATACCATTGTTAAAATCGTTTGAGTCTAATTTAGAAAACGTTATCAGAGATATTAGAATAAACGCATAATGCTATAAATGACTTGGGCAACAGATGAAATTTGTTTAGGCAAAAAAAATAATCATGTCTTATACTACAAGTACAATAATTATTATCTCTCACGTTCAAAACATAGTATCCATTGCAATATCGTTTTATAGGCGTCATTTACATAAAAAACAAATAACTTTTTTTTAAATTATGGGGTTTCGCGAACATTGGTAATATATTTTGTTCACATTTTTAACGTTTTAATGGTTTACAACCAATATAACTGACAGGGAAGTTTTTTATCTGTGTCTAATGATACGGATAAAAATATATTTACAGTACAGTACAATAAAACAATTAAATATAATGTAGGTAGACGGATGACACTATTGTTTGAATTGTTGTTGCAAAAATCATATCAATTTGTAACATAATTCATATTTTTGCAATAAACAACAACGGGAAATATTTTTTGATTAATAATTTGATGATCGACGGTTAAGTCAACATTAATCAACATCGCACGCACTTTTACACAAAACTCAGGCTCTAAAAAATGTCTTCTTGAACATTTTATCCTTCAACCATTAGCCTATTAGTGGTGTTATTAAATACTTGAAATTTTATAAAATACAAATTAGGTATATATTCTTGAAGTACTTTATTGATTTAAAATCCAATACATTTCATTGGCTTGACGAACTGTAAAAATTTATTGATAATGTTTAATGTTGTAATTAAAAGAAAGAAAACAGCCATAAAAAACTTTTCTCTGTTAGTTTTACCTCGTTTGAAAATCATATCTTTATATTCACTCTTTACAAAAGATTAATCTAAACCAGCCCTGGGAAACAATAATTTTAATGTGTATTTGCTTTAAAAACAAGGATTCGTTTTACAAAATTTTATTATTGTCAAATAGGTACCACATAGGTTAACATTGAATAAACTATAATAAGTACAAAATAGATTATAATAGCATAATATAATCTTAAATAACTATTTGTTTTATTATCTTTATTTTCTAATATAGTTACTATTTTCATTACTTGGTTACGCTAATTTTGTAATCGGGATTTAATTATTACCGAAAAATTGTATAATTGTGTGAACATTCTACTATAAAAAATTAATATTAATTTAAATAATGTGTATAATTTTGTTGTATACATTTGGAACATTTTTTTCATAAACTTTCTAAATGAGTTGATACGTATATAATGTTTTAATAATTAACAGAAACTAGTTGCTTTATCATAAGAAATGATCTAGATTTAAATTTTGCGTACAAATTAAAATATCACGAAAAAAATGTAACCATGTACTTTTTTCGATAATTAAAAATATATTTAATATACGGAAAATTATACTTTATAACGGTTTTCAATAAACATTAAACATGTATTATTTATTTAGTAAACACCACTATAAAATCTTATGGCTTTGTAATAACTCTATTTTTTTAACTGATTTTTATTTCCGTGTGTTATAAAATTAATTTTGTTACCTACGTGTACTGTACACAGAAAAACTAGCTTAGTAAGCAAGGATTGATTTCTAAAATTTGATTACTTAATAGATAAATTGCAACAGTTGCAACATTTAACAGTATTTTATGATTGTAGATATATTTATTACTGATTATAATTTGTCAAAATTAATCAAAGTAATGATAAATTAGAGCTATCTCCCGTACATTTTTTTTTATCGTTTTTTATTTTATTTGTGACGAGAAACTTGTTGAACTTTATTGAACACAATATGTATTTTCTTAAAGTAGTTATTGGGCAAATTACAGCAGGAGTGGGCAACAACTCCAGCCACTTGTAGCGCTGTGTAGGACCATAGAGAGGTTACTCTTATATCAATTAAGAGGGCGTCGCACCGCCCATTTTTAAGAAGTAAAGTATAGGCAATTTTTTACAAAATCTTAATTTAAAGGTTAAACTGTGATGTGTAATTATCAGTTCAATAACTAGGACTCTATTTCGGCAGTTAATTTATTTTTTGGACTATCACAGCATCCTTGAAAGCGATTTAAAAATGTTTTTTCATCTCAACTTGTTTAAGCAGACTGAAAATAACTCGCTTAATTTTGGATTTAGAGTAAAAGCACCCATTATAAAATTAAAAGAGAACAACGTTTCGGAGGGCAAGACGGTGCGTTTTTTTCATTATTCCAAGTATAACGCTCAATACATAGTTTAGAAATAACGACTATTTTAACATTTTTAAATGACTGTAACTTTCCAAAAAAATGCACCGTCTTGCCCTCCGGAATATTGTTTTCTTTTAATTTTATAACGGGTGCTTTTACTCTAAAACCAAAATTAAGCGAGTTAGTTTCAGTCTGCTTAAACACGGTTTTACCACTAAAAATCACCGGTGCGACGCCCTCTTAAGTCGAGTGTCGGGTGTTTAAGTAGAACTTAACGAACCGGCGCGTGCGAAACGTTTTTTAGGTAGCGCTCAGACGTTTGGACCGTTAATCCGCTGCAATGAGACGGCGGCGTATGGAAATGGTTCAATTACAGTACTACAATTATCATAATGGACACACGCGTTAAACGTAGGCGTACTTACATACAACTGTGCGCGGGTACCAGACGGGAAACGGCGCCCGTCGACACATCCGGTGCCGCTATCTCTCTCCCTAGTCACGGTCCGGGCACTGTCCGCGCTGCGCCGGAACGCATCGCAGATGGCGGTAGCGAATACGTTAGCCGGCTTGAACGTTGTGTATTTTAAGCGAAGGCCCCCTCCGCTGCCTTGGCCTCCCCTTCTCGTCCCCTTTGGGCGGCGGCCACGGCGATTGCCTCGTGCGGTTAACCCGTTAGTACACGGTGTAGATCAGATGTCGGAGCACCGTTACCGCAGCCAAGACGCTCGGGCATGATATATACATATTATTATAATTAATAATCGTCTTGTTCGCTCGTCGTGTCGTGTGTACTTTTTTTGGAAATAATCGTTTACCAGTAAAAAAGTTATTTTTGTTTTATTTAATTTAGTGCGTACCTACCTGCGTTCGGAATAACCGCGAAGTCACGTTCGGCCGCCACAAACTATGGATTGTTAAAATTCAAAATCTACACAATTCCCCGGATCAAGTCGACCGAGTGAGTGCCGCTAAGATTTTAATACTGATACACCTATTATATCATTCATTTTTATCAATACCGTTGACTGGTATAAATCGTTTCTCACGCTTGCTGTACAGTAGTCATAGGCGTATCTAGGAATTCGATTTTGGAGGCAGGAATTGAGTAGTATCACCCGAGGGAACAAAATGAATAGGGTAGGCGGGCTATGAGCAATGGTCGTACATTTAAAGTTTACTTAAAAAAAAACACATATTTTAATATATTATAAATAAAATACACTTGCGTGCATGCAATTTAAAAACTTAAAGGGTAACTTCGGCCCCCGTAGCCCCCCTTGTATTCACTTGGTCCTACATACTGTTGCTGGTTGCGGCTAATAGGGTATACTACTGCGGCATATGTTTTTTCATAAATAAATTATGTAACTAACGTTGTCATGCCGTATCGATTTTGTTTTACGCACCCGCTCTTTGTGTACAGTTAAATGGCGTGTGCTCGACACAATGTAGTGGCGGTTACCGTAAATTAGATTACCATAGACATCCTATGTTTACAATGTAGTTTTATTGAGCCGTGATCGAAATTAGGTTGCCATAACAATAATATTGTTGTTTGTACACAAAACAACAATCAAATAGGTATTATAGTATTGTATTCTTTATAGTTGTGTTCGAACTGAAAAAAATCGTATACATATTAAATGGAATACTGTTGAAAAATATGTTATATGTCTAATATTTAATTTAAATAGTCTATAAATGTAAACTTGATACAAACGAAAGTACTTTCATAGGCGCAATTTGGAGAGAGCTTGAGTGTGTGCTTACCACACCTAGTTTTCAAACTTGCACCCCCCAAAATGATTTGTGCTTCATAGCGTAAGTAGTGAGTTGATGGGATTTTTCTAATATTTCCAGTACTTAAGCACCCCCCCCCCCTCTCCAATGATCTATAAGAGTAATTACGTTAACTGATTTTATTCATTATAAATTATAGTATACTAGTTAATGATAAAACATATTGAGACGATAATTGGCATAAAAAATAGTCTTTTAATTTGTACGTTTTGGTCAATTGAATAATGCTTGACAAATATATTACAATTGTTCGTGTAAAATATCTTGTTTATTATTACTATTAAATATATTATAAGATATTACATGAGAATGAAAATTGATTAATTATCGAAGTAATAAAAATAAACATTTTTTGGCAAATGATAAATTTTCCAAACAAAAAATCATAAAAGTTAGACAAATTATTAACCGTACACATATATTTGCAAGTACAGTATTTTGTATAATTATTAACCTTTCAATAAGTAATTAAACCAGCACAGCCTAAACCAGTGCATTGATAACTAGTAGGTATAGTTTAAACCTGTAGAGTATAAATCAAGTTTCGTCTTAACTAGTACAAATCCAGCACAGTTTGAGCCAATACAGTCCAAACTAGTGCAGTACAAACTAAGCCCAATGATAAATTAGCATAGTGGTTCGATGGGGGTATACTTAATTTGAAGGTGATTTAATCACTCCCAGACGTTTCGATGCGATCTGTAAGTAGTATAACCTGGTACAACATAAACCAAGTACAGTACAAATCAGTAAAGTGTAAGCCAGTAGAGTATAAATCAAGTTCTGTCTATACCAATACAGTATTAACTAAGTGCAGTCAAAACCAAACACAGTATAAACCAGCGCAGGAAAAAATTACCAATGTGGGGTCCAGTATCCGCAGATTCGCTGCTACTTTAGTAAATTGGTCCAGAGAAAAAAAAGTTATCCTCATTACAGGTACAAAAAAAAACACACACATCATTGTAAATCCAATACCTTCTCAGCTCCGCATCGAAGTTAAATATATTTTGTGAAAGCGTTAAACACAATGTACATTTCGTATCAAGAGTGTAGGACTATTATTTGATACTATATTTTGACAGTTGGTCAACAGTAGACAATTGGTTGTCGTCGACTCTCGTCCTAAACTACCTTCTTTTTATTCTGAATTTAATTTTCCTATTCTTTTCAAATAATGTTCCATTATACTCTTCAAGCGTTTTCTTTGTCTCTATCCCTTGTGATATTCACGTTGACTTCCTTTTGATACTTATCTTATTTCATATTAGATTATTCTCTGTATAACATTATATCCCACACTAACACTAGGTTTTCTTCAAAACTGTGGTAAAGTCACTGTAAAATTATATCATTCTTTTCTTAAGCCACGTGTGAAATGTCTGATTTTTAGATTAAATATTCACATTGTATAAGTTATTAAAAATCATATACAGCAATGTTTTTCATTGTTTTTTTTCTCCTAAAAATAAAAGCAGAATGCGTTTTACTCGGCCTGTGAGGGGTTTGGAGAAAATTTAATAGGGAATGTCATTACCGTTTTATACTTTCAGTATTTACTATTTAACTTAATGTGTGATATGAAAAATACATTTATTGCTTTTTGAAAATAGTTGAAAAACTATAGCATTACCTCCAACAGGTCATCTTTCCATACGATAATTTTTATTTTACTTCTAAACCCATCTTAAAGTGACTAAAACGCTTTCTGTGTAGTGTTTATATTTAGCCTAGGCCATTTGGTGTATAACATCCACTAAATGGAAATGCAATGTTTATTTTTATAACGCATAATTACTAATTTGTGATTTTCAAAATTAAGCTTGGATATTATTTTTATACTCCAATAACTTTTACGAGGAACTTACAACTGGCCACTTAAAAACGCTACTTTCTAAAAATAATTTCCTTCTCCTGTCATGTCCTATACCACCAGACGAGATTCCTTTATTTTTTTATCGTTAATTTCAAGTTTTACCGTTTAACACAAATGTTAGACGCTGTTAAAAAAAAATTAATTTAATAAACAAACCAGACTTCTTCTTATCGGGTAATATACGAGTGACATTACTACTATTTTAATTAACCGTTACTAAGTAACGACAACGTATTTAAATAATATTTAAAACAAGTTAATTATAATATCATATCAATTACTAGTTTATCTCAGTTTATTTTTTTTATTTGTTGATTAAATGATTAAATGATCATGCACGCATGATGATAATCTTGTAATTATAGATTTGTATTAACGACATATGTAGTTAAATACAACTTTTATTACATCACAAAATACATTTTGAGTTTCTACTTAATTTCTGCAAGATTGAAAACAATTTAATTCTAATTGATTTAATTCTCATAATTGTAGTATATTAATTAATATGATTAACGCTATTGCCTTAATTTCCGGCTTTGCGATAAATTGCGCTTTAAAATTTACTTGGCAATAAGAACAAACAACAATCAGAAAATGTGATATCAAATCGATCCGCTAAAGTTAACATACTTTAAGCTTATTAGTTTGCATGGGCGACTCTAAACAAAGGCATGTGCCCCGCACAAATTTTCTTTGGCCTACCAGTGCCCCATTTTTAATTTGAAGAATTTAGAATTCAATTAATAGGACATTGAAAAAAATATTAGAATATAAGACGTAATAGTATACTTCCGATTTGGGAAAATGTTATTCAGTCTGAAAATTCATCACTTGATAAAATTATTAAAAATATGGTGTTTGTGTGTTAATAGTTATTATACAATAACGCTAAAATGTAAACATGTTTATTTTTTTACTTGTATATAAATTTCATAGCAATTATGAATTAACAATATCGTTTATACACCATAAATGGAGGTTCTATTATTTCAAATTAAATAATTTTGAAAAAACTTGGGTTTTATTGTAAAAAGTGTGTAAATCATGTGTTAAATTATTATTGAGCACAATACATTTGTAAGTGCAGTGTACTGAAATAAGACGTTTAAAAGCTATCCAGCACAATGGCTAATTGCAAATAATAATATAAAAACTAGAAATTCGTAACAAGTTAAATTTCTTAACATACAACAAAAGTCAATTATTTAATCGCCAGTCTTTACATTTTGTCGCCTATTGTTTGCTTTATCATCTTGCGTAGGTTTAATGTTGGCTTTTAAAAAGCTTACGTCGGTTTCGCTGTATGTGTAATTGTGTAAAAAATGTGTGGTTGCCACATTGTTTTTTTTTTTTTTTAATCCAGAAAAACACATTTCGGCACTTAAACCATTTAACACCCATTAAGTGAAAAGGATATTGTATTATAATGTTCGTTTTACTTAGCATCGTTAGGCCCCTTAAATGGCAGTTGTATTTCGCATAACGTAGTATTACTTTTTTTCCTTCTCGACTGTTATGATAATAGGACATTATACGGGCTACAATAGTGTTATTTAGCATTCACGTTTCACAAACAATTAATTTCACAACAAATAGGATTTTTTTTTTTAATGAGTAGATATTCGGTTGTCGAGACGGAATGATAAAATGGAATTAGTACTTCGACGCGATCGGCGAACAATACCGTAGTAAGAGAACTATATATGTTTCGAATGCTATACATTATTATTATTATTATAATAATATTACTCTACCAACGTGATTGTTGTTAAAGTAAAAAAAAATATAGGTTACGAAAGTGTGTACACAATGGAAATAGGTCGCAGTGTGTACCCACGTTATAAGACACAGTGGACATCGTGATGAAATTATCCTATAGATCACGAACGACTAATTATTAGAGTTGGGTCGTGTTCGCACGATATTTGTGTATCGTAAACATGTCGCTGTTTTGGGTAACCTTTGTATGTATGTATATATATATGAATTTTTTTTTTTTTGAAACAATCGTCGCGTGTCGAGCCGCAAGAAATCTCACCGTCGATTAATGTGTCTTTAAGAAGTCGGACACGCCATACTGTGTAATTATTATTCGTTTAGTCAAATAGTACGGAACGAGTAACGAATTTATCGCCTTGGAGCAAACGTCTTAACAACATTGCCGATATGTGGGTTTCTCTCGCGTCTTTCATTGTCCACCGCGGCAGTACGAATAGGTAATGAAAGCAGTGTAATTTTTCAAAGTTTTAGGCCCAAACGTCCGACAACGTTGTTTTGAC